GGTTGGCCTCTCCAGCCCCCCGGCAGCGACACACTGCCCCGGCCCAGGGTCCGGCAGAGCCGTCCCGGTGGCACTCACCCGGGCAGCGGTAGAGCTTGCGGGCCTGGGCGATGTCCCCTTTGCTCAGACGCGTCCGCTGGCCGATGGCGGGTCGGACCCCGTTCACGTCGTACTTGGGCAGGATGGTGTCGAGGAAGATGCCCCTGGGGCGAGAGCAGGGAGAGGCTGAGCTGGAAAGCACGGGGGCTGCGGCTGCTCCCCGCTGCCAGGGGAAGGATGCTAAAAACAGCCTGGCTAATTAAAGCCTGCGGGTCGGTGAGTCAGCGGGGATGTGTCCCCGACAGAGGTGACCGCGGGGACAGCACAGGACATCACTGCTCTGCCCAGCGATGCTGTGGGGCTTCATCCTGCCCCGGCGTGCTGTGGCACGGCTCCGATGGAGCGGGCAGCAGTGCACCAAGTGCATTAACCCGGTGCCACTGTCCTTCAGGGCTGGGGACCCCGTGTCCCCGTCCCCGGCACTGCGGGGAGGACGGGGACACGGGGACGCGTGGGGCGAGTCACCCCGGCCCCGTACCTGGAGAAGGTGTTCCTGGCGTAGTGCATGATGCTGTCGAAATCGTACGTCTCGCCCAGCGACTCCACCTCCTCCGGCTCCATCTTCAAGAAGTTGTACTCCTGCCCTGCGGAGGCAGGCGGGATGGGGACGCCGTCAGGGGGGGCTACGGCAGCACCCCACGGCAGGGAGGAAGAGGAGGAAGAGGAAGAAGGAGGCTTCTCCCTACCTGGCTGGATGTTCTCCCGGATGATGGAGACGTGGTCATCCCGGTCAGGGCGCGTGTGCTCGTGCCAAAACCCGATGACGTGACCCAGCTCGTGCACCACGATGCCGAATTTGTCGCAGTTTTTGCCGATGGAGATGGCCTGCGGTCCCCCTCCTCGGCGGCCCACGTAGGAACAGCACCTGGGGGGGGGAGGGAGATGGGTGGCACCGGCTGAGCCCCGGCTGTCCGGAGTGGGGGACGCCCCTGCGGTGTGGCCATCCCGGTGCTTCCCTGGGTAAAGACGTGAGTGGGGCCGGGAGCATCACCGCTGCTCGGCGTGGAGCATCTGGGAAGCATCCCTGCTGCCTCGGCTGGCTGGCAGCTTGCGCCCG